TTTTTGATAAAAACTTGATAATTTTTTAGGTTTAGTTACTATTAAAGGTAATTGTTGATCTATTTTTTCTCTAATTGATGTTAAAATTTCTTCAATACTTATATAAGGAAAACAATATTTTTTATATCTAGAATTCAAAAAAGCAGAAATATGTAAAGATTCAGTAATTAAATTAAAATATTCAATAAATTTAGATAACATAGTATTAACAACATATTGTAATTGAAAGTTTTCACCCTTATCTTGTTTTAAATCATTTCTAAGAACTAATAAAATTATTTGTGTATGTGTAATTGTTGGATAAGATTGTGATGAAAGTTCAATAGTTGCTTTATTAAATTGTTCTAATAAATAAACTAAGCTTTTATAAATTTTCTATTTTTCTTTGTTTAGCATATAAGTTTTTAGATTTGGATGTTTAATTAATAAAATTTCAATAGATTTATTGAGTAAACATGCTCTTTTAATCATATGATAAGTTGAATTCCATCTAGTTTTACAATCTAGAATTGGTGCTAAAAATGATTGTTTATCTAATATTTTAATATTTTTTAAATCTTCATAAATTTTAGTTGATTTGTGAATAGTTTTAATTAATTTTCTTAGCTTTTTAATTGAATTTTCTAAATTATTTAAATCAGCTAAAACAACTAAATTAAGTATATGAGTTATATAACTATAATGACAAAAATTATTAGAATTTAACTTATCTTATAAATAATTTGCTGCAGAAATCATATTAGCACTATTATCAGTAGTTAATAAAATAACTTTAGCTTCAATTTCAAATTCTTTAAGTAAATTATATATTTTATCAGCAATAATTTCTCTAGTATAAGAACCTTTAAATTGAAATATATCTAATACAAAATATTGTAAATTCCAATTTTTATCAATAAAATGAATAGTTATAGCAAAAAAGATTCTATTTTTAAAGATGTCCAAAAATAAGCTGTAAGAGCAACTTTACTTATAATATTACTAAGATAATTTTTTATCAAATTTTTTTGTTCATAAAATTGACTTATAGCTAAATTATAAATAGCTTTACATTTAGGAACTTGATAAAATGGATCTAATTTTTTTATTATATTTTGAAAAGCTTTATTTTCTACTACATTAAATGGCTTAAGAGCTAAAATAATCTATTTAAAAATTGCTTGAGTTTTTTCTATTTGAATTTCTGATAAATATTTTTTAATTACAAAATTTAATTGTATTTTGTTTAATAATATTTTATGTTGTAATTGTAAATAAGATTGAATAGAACTAGTTGCTGTTGTTGGTACAAATATTTTAGAACAATAAGAACATTTGTAAGTTTGGATTATATTTTCTAGAGTCTTAAGATCTTAGTATAAGTCAGTAGCTTTGAAGGTATGTTGGTGTTAGAAATTAGAAGCTTTGAATCTTTTGTTTAGGATATTTGCAAGAGCAACTTTAGAAATACTAGTTTGTAATTTATGCCAGCTCTTTTCTAATGATTCTGTTTAAATTGAATTTATAGATATTTTGTTAGTATTTAGATTTGAAGAAACTGAATTTGCAAAGTCTTCTCATAATTCAGAATTCATAGATTTGTAGTTGAATATTCTATATCAGATGTTAGTTTTGTATCTGGTTTTGTTTTGAAGAGCAAAAGGAAAGGACCAAGATGACATGAGAATTTAGTAGTCACTATTTGATATGGTTTCAGAATCTATGAATGTAAAGTTTAGAAAATATGGAATAGTAGAGTAATATGTCAATATGTAATCTATTCGGCTACTAAAATAACTACTTTGCCAAATATGTTGATTAGATGATGTATAATCTGCTAAGTTATACATATTTTGGCTTTGTAAATAAAAAAGTAGTTTAGTTTTAGCAGAATGAGGAGCTTGGTATTCTGTGTTTGAGTTAAAGTCTCCTATAATAATAGGAAGTAAGTTAGTAGAAAAGTATCTTAGATCTAGTAGATAACTTTATTTTGTGTTGCTTATCTGGTTACTGAGTTTGTACTTGATAAGTACACAGTTATAATATAGAATTTAAAATTGTTTTTGAAGCAATAGCTCCTTCTGAATATGTATGAATATTGTATATATGTAGTTTAATTATATTGTTAATTATAATATAGGTACCCTCTGCAGAGGTCTCAGAGTTAGCCCAGAAATATGTAAAATTCTTTGTATTAAAGAAATAGAGTATAGTGTGTTGAGCTGATATTTTAGTTTCTGTAAGGCTTATGATATGTAAGTTATGAGCGAGACAATACTCCTCCCATAACTTTCTTTTTAATGGTTGGTTATATTCTTTAATATTATGTATTGTAATATTAAGTAATAGTGAATTGTCGAGAGTTTGAGATCTAATAGATAAATAAAAGAATTTAGTATAGTTAGTAAGATAAAGTATAATGTGATATGGTAATAGTAGGTCCATAATATTATTATAGATATGTGTTTCTTTTAGAATAAAATTAATTAATATTTTGAATAGAAGTTTGTAGTTTAGTTTAGTTAAGAATTGAATAAATGATTTGAGTGTTTGATTTGAATTAAGAGTAGAGTAATTATATTGTTTTAAGAATTGATTATAACAGATAACTTCAGTGTATGATTAGGCAATAGTTACTGAAGATGTGTTGAGTTCTTCTGTAGAAAAAGTACTCACTGTATACCCAGTTTTTATAGTTGTAAAGTTTGCCAAAGCCTGCTTTGTACGTTAAGTCTAGCTAACATATACTTGGTTCTCTGCAGAAGTAGGCTTAACTACCTGCCTACTTCTATTATTCTCCTTTGAAAATGGCTTACAGTTAGTAGAGAATATCATTATTTCAAAGGCAGTAGCTACATTTATGTATTCTACAGAAGAATTTATTGAAAAGGGGATATTTCATTTTCTGGTATAGTTGTTAGTATGTTAGAGGCCTTATTTAAAGGTTTATTAAGGACTTCTGGATCAGCAAAGAGATCATCAATTTCTATTTCAATCTTAGACTGTTCATTAAATTGTATATTAAAAAGAAGAGATTCTTCAAGTTGAATCAAGTTGGTTAATTTGATACTGAATTTATCATTAAGATATTTTTCAGTCTCAGGATAGAATGTAGTTTTGTATTGGTTAAGGATTTCATTAATAGTAATAATAGGAGATTTTTTAATTGAGTAATATGTAATTACTCTTGCTAAAAAATAAGTATTGATAGGTTGATATGTGAGTTTTTCTTTTGCTTTGTCTAAAGAAAGATTATCTATTTCATCATTTTTTGCAGAAGCTGCTAAAAATGCTTTAAAGATTTTGTAAAAGAAAAAACTTTCTTTTTTAGTATTAGGATCTACTTGGTTAGCCTTAGCAAGTTTTTTATCATGCTCATAAGCAAGAGTATAGAATAAACTAAGTGAAGTAGATTGTTGAAATAAAGCTACATTAGATTGATTTTTGTTGAATAGTGATAAATCTAAAGTAACATTTATTTATTTAGTAGGAGCAAAATATTTAAAAGATTCTTTAAAATAGTGTTCATTAATATTTTTAAATTTGTGCTCAATTTCAGGAGCAAGTAATTTGCATAGATTTTTAGGTGTATAATCATATTTTTGAATATAAAATAATACAAGCTTTCTAGTTTTGCAAATTCTATTCTGTAGAGAAGGAATTTCTCTAATATTATAGTTAGGAGATAACAGTTCCTTACAACATTTTGCAAATTGCTATGCAATTTGGTATTTCAAATAGTTATAAGTTTTTTCTTTATTGATTTTAAGAAATTGGCAACTATAAATTTTGAAGAAGCTTTCATACCACTCATCAAATTGTGGTTTGCATTCTTTGAGTGAAAGAATTTAAAAAGTGTTTAGAAATTGGAGAACAGGAATATTAAAATAAACATAAACATTAAATTGCTTATCATTATTAATTATTAAAAGTAATACTTTGTAAGTATTACTTTCATATACATTTTTGTAATAGATAAGTTTAAATTTATGAAGACTAATATTAATATCTTTTGCAAATTGTTCATAATCAATTCATTAAAAGTTATCAATGAGATAAAGGTGAAGTCAAGTAAGATTAAATGCAACTTGATTACAGTTTTGTAAGGTACTTGAAGGAATAGATTCAATAAGTGAGAGAACCTTTGCATAATTAAATTTAGTAAAGAGAGTAGTAGTAAATTTAGTTAAAATTAACTTCAGATTAGTAAATAAAATATCAAAAGAAATTGTTGTATTTGAATGTGTTTATGAATTAAATTAGAGAATTAATTCTGATAAAAAACTAAGGTATCTACTAGCTATAGTTTTAATCAAGTACTTAAAGTTTGCTCTGAGTTCTAGTTATTCACTTTTAGCTTTTTTGAGTACTTGATCAGGTCTAAAACTAATAAGGTCAAGTTTAACAAAATTAAAGATATTTTTTGCAAGAGGAGTATTGAGGTAAATGTTAGATTCCATTTCTGTAGTGATAGGAAAAATTTAAAAAAGTCAAAAAGAGGTTTCTCTTCTTTTCTTTCCTTTGATTTTTGTTGTTATTTCTTTTGTTGATTATTTTGTTGTTTATGTTGTTGTTGTTATTTTTAAGTACTCTCTTGTTTATTTTGTTGATTATTTTTTTGTTTGTTTTGTTGTTGGTTTAGGGTTTGTTCAACTTCTGCTTTTGAATAAATTTTAAGAGACTTAAAATGTCTAATTTTTTCTTTTGCAGGAGTCATTGCAATAGAGGCTAAAAGAACTACAATATTTTGATCCTTGTTAAGTAGTTGTGGTAAAGGCTTAGTTGGAATTGTAGTAAGTTTAGCTACATAGCTACAGTAAATTAAATAGTAGTTTTTAAGAAGAATAGCTACAGTATAATCTGGAGAATGACCCTTGTCTTTGGTATCAATACAAGGTAAATCTTTAATTTTGCAAATTACACACGTATATGTATGATAAGAATGAGCGATAATTGTAATAGGAGATTTATCAATATTAAAAGTTGGAGGTTTTGTTGGGTTAAAAAGTTGAGAGAGTTGGAGTTTAGAAATAGGAGATGCTAGAAGCTTATCTGTAATTGTATTAAAACATTTGTTTGAAATAGATGGAGAGATATCCATTAAAGATGTAGAAGGAGTACTGAGTGTGGTAGCTTTAATTTTGTAAAATTGTGATGTAAAGTTTGTATGAAATTTTTTACACAAACAAGTAGTATAGGTTGGTTGTTTAGGAATAAGAAAGTAGTGCATTTTCTTTTTATCTCCAGAATTACAATTAGTTGGTTTGACATTTTCTGGCAAAATACAGAAAGATTCTGGTTTGTTTTCATTCATTCTAAGAGCATAATATCCTTTGTATCTATTATAGTAATAATCAATACTATATGAATTAGATTCAGTTGAAATTAAAGTAGGCATCTTTTATAATCAAGAAGATAGCATAGAGTATAAGTAATAATTTGTAAAAGAAATTGTGTGAAATAGATTAAAATTAGTATAGAAAATAAAGATTTAATTAAAATTATAGTGAAATTTCCTAAAGACCAGTAAAATTTCCAGGTCTTATAAGCAGGATCCTGTAATTTGGATCGGTTTAGGGTTAAGAAAAAAGTGAAAAATCTTAGGCAAGCTAGTAAAATTTCTGAAATTGCCACAGGTAATTTCTAAGTAATCTACAAGAATTTAGAAAGTCTTTAAACAGGTTTTAGAAGTAATTCAGTGAGTTTTAGTCCGTTTTTAATAAAATTTATATCAAAATGAAGCTCTAACTTAGGAGAATCTAACTCTTTTAATAAACAAGAGTAGTTAAGTTAGTAATATTTTATGATATTTAAGAAAATAGAAGTAAAACAGAAGTATATAATATCTCTATAAAATTTAGTTTAGAAGATATAAAATTAGGCTATTCTAATGTAAAATTTTGTGCTAAACAATTTTACTTAGTAGCCTAAAAGTAGTTTACTTAATAGAATTTTGAGATAATTTGAAAAAACTAAAAAAAAACCAAAATTATTTAATATCTCCACAAGCAGAGGTCTGGAAGAGATAAAACTAGACCACTCTAAAGTAAAATTCTATTGCCTAAGATTGGTTTACTTAATAGAATTTTGAGTAATAATTAAATGTTTGCAAGAAGTTTTGGTGCAAGTAATCTTCAGAAAGAGTTGCTAATTTGTTTCCTATATA